CATGGTGTCCTGCTCCGGCGTGTAGCGCGTGCAGATCCGCAGGATCTGGGGGGAAAGTCGGGGATTTAGGGTGGAGGGAAGGGGCGAGGAGCCGGGCAGGGGGGGTGCTCAGCGCCTTGCGGGCACCGTGCGCCCTCCGTGCTCCCCACCCCGTCCCCGCGCCTTGCGGGCACCGTGCGCCCTCCCCGCTCCCCCGTCCCCGTCCCCGCTCCCCCGTCCCCGTCCCCGCTCTCACCAGGATGTCGAGGCAGGCGGCTTTGAGGAGGGTGATCTGGTCGGCGATGGTGAGCGTGGTGAAGCCGGGGAGCTGCTTGGCGAACTCCACCGTCTTGATGATGCACTTGGTGGACAGCTCGCTGAACTTATCCCACAGGTCGATGTCCAGGGACACCCGCTGCTCCGAGCTGTTGTTCTGCGGGACCGCCGCGGGGAGGGCAGATTAGGGGGCGAGGGGGTGTCCTGGGGGGGTGGTCCCAGCTCCCCCAGCCCCCTCCCCGCGGCGGCACTCACCGTAGTGTATTTGCCGAGCTGGCACAGGGCGGGGAAGGTCTCCTGGTGGGCTTTGCGCACCTTCTCCACCAGCTCCTCCACCTCGGGCGTGATGATGTAGCTCTCCGAGCACTCCGCCTTGGGCACGTCCTTCTTCTTCTTGTTCCTGTCGTTGCGGACGGCTGCGGGGATGGATTTTTAGGGTCAGCGCCACCCGCACCCAACCCCGGGACCCCCCCTCCCCATCACCATTGCCACCCGCCCGCCGGATCCGCCGCGCTGACAAACGGCCGGCGGCGCGCGGCTTCGCTTTAAAAAAAAAATTAAAAATTAAAATAAAAGGCCTGCAGTCATTAGGAGGCGATTAGGGGCGACACCGCATCCGTCAGGCGGGCGGGGGGGGGGCTGCTGGGGGGGGGAGATCGCTCACAGCCATGCAGCGAAATCCAATAAAGCGGAGAGGAGAGGGGGGGGCGCCGGGGTAACCGGGGAGGGGGAACCGCAGCCGTGACACCGCGTTCATCACCGCAGGCAGCTGGCAGAGGGGGGGGGACACCCCCTGTAGGTGCCGTTGGAGCCCCCCGGGGTGCTGCCCCCCAAGCCCAGCAGTGCCCCCAGCCCCGGGTGGGGGTCCCCCAGCAGCACGCAGATGGGGCAGGGCTCTGGGGGTGTCCACGGGGGCCAGGCGAGGCAGCTGCGCCCCCCTCCATGCACAGCCAGCATCGCCCCCCATTTATTAACCCCCCCCCCCCATGCCGCGGTGTGGGGGGGGTGCAGCCGGGCACCATGACAACTGGCACGCAGACGCCAGGAGGCCTCATCGGCGTCATTTATCTCTGACATCATCCATCACGCGTCGCCCGGGCAACGGGCGGGCGCTGACACAGCCCCGGGGGCTCCCCCCGTGTCCCCCCCCTCCCAACACCCCTCGCTGGGGGGGGGACACCAAGGGGGCGGCTGGGATTGCCCACGGCACACAGGGTCCCCCCTGGCTGCATCCAGGAGGGGGATCACCCCATCCCCGTCCCAGTTCCTGGCCCCATCCCAGTCCCCGTCCCCATCCCAGTCCCTGTCCCCATCCCCGTCCCCGTCCCCGTCCCGTCCCACCCCGCACTCACACTCCTTGGACATGCCGACTTCGAAGCACTTCTGCAGGCGGCAGTACTGGCACCGGTTGCGCGTCACCTTGTTGATGATGCAGTTCTTGTCCCGGTGGCACGTGTACACCATGTTCTTCTGGATGCTGCGGCGGAAGAAGCCCTGGGGACCCCCGCAAGGCCCCGTCAGCGCCCGGAGGGGCACAGCACGTGGCTCGGCGTGGCACGGCACATGGCATGGCACATGGCATGGCACATGGCACGGCACGGCACAGCGCGTGGCATGGCGCATGGCACAGCACATGGCATGGCATGGCACATGGCACGGCATGGCGCATGGCAGGGCGCATGGCAGGGCTCATGGCACGGCATGGCACAGCATGGCACAGCATGGCACGGCATGGCACAGCCCCCCCGGCCAGCCGGGTGCTCACCTTGCAGCCCTCGCAGGCGCTCACGCCGTAGTGGTACCCCGAGGACTTGTCCTGGCAGACGAAGCAGGGCTTGTAGATGCGCGGCAAGGGCGGCGGCGAGGGCGGGCTGGGCACGATCTCCTCCGAGCTGGTGCTCTGCGTCTCCACGGCTGCGGGGAAGGAGAAACGCTCAGGAAAAGGGGACCCCCAAGTTGGGAACCCCCCCTGAAACAGCCCTGCTGTGCCCCCATCCTGCTGGCCGGCCGTGGGGACGGGTCACCGGGGGCCTCCCCAGCTCGGCACGGGGCCGGCGGGGAGAGGAGGCGAGCTGGGAAGATGCAACTTGACATTTCCAGGCCACGGAGAGCCGATGTGGAATTCAGGCAGACAAAAAAAAAAAAAAAAGAAAAAAGGGAAAGACAAAAAAAAAAAAAAAGAGAGAGAAAACCACATCCCAGGAGCCCCCCGCGCCGCTTTGATCGCGTCTGCAGGGAGCGCGGCAGCCTCGTGGCCCCCCCCCACCCCAAGCCTTGCACGGGAGGGGCCCGGCGCCGCACACTCGCTCGCACGTGCGGGCACGCACGCGTGCAGGGGCCGAGGGGGGGCTGCAGGCGTCGCCCACCCCCCCTCGGGATGGGACAGCACCGTCCTCATCCCCACACCCCCCCCCGTGTGCTGCAGCAGCCCCGGCTGCGTGCGCCAAATCCTGGTGGCGTGCGCCCCGTCGCCTTGGGCACCCCCGGGACCCCCCCGAAACCCCCCCTGGCTGTTGCCACCGGGGCGGCCAGGCACGGGTTAAGCTCTCCCCGGCTCCTCAGGATGTTTGCGAATGTTTTTCGTCAGGGCCGAGCCAAGTGAACCAGTCAGACAGGATATTAAAGGCCGGGCCCGGCGGGGGAGCCCAGCCCCGCGCCCCAGCCCCAGCCGCTGCGCCCCACAAAGGGCCCCGCGGCACCGGGGATCGCCCGGCGGCACCGGGTGCTGTGGGACGGGACAGGACTGGGGGGGGGGGCTCAGTGCCACGTGGAATCGGCGTGGGGGGGTCGTGGGAGGTGAGGGGGGGCTGCACCCCAATGCCACAGATTGGTGGGAAGAGCACAGGGGGGTCCCCAACCCCGGCGCGGCACCAAAAGCGGGGTCCCGCTGGGTGCCGGCGGCACGGGCGCACCACCAAGGTCGGGGGCGCACGCGGCACCGAGGACAAATGGGGGGGGCACAAATGGGGCCGAAGCCACCCAGAAAGCCAGCGTGTGTCCCCCCCCCCCCAGCCACGGCACGGCTCGACCTGGCTGCCGAGGACACGGGGACGGTGCCAGCACCGGGGACGCTGCCAGCACCGCAGCGCCGGGGGGATCACGGCTTCCCCCGGCGCGGGGCTGGGGTGGGGGGGCCCCATGGGGGCCAGGGGCTGGGTTCTTGGGGTGTGTGTGGGGGGGTGGAGGTGGAGGGGGGGGGACACGGCCAGGGCTGAGCTTGGCGGGTGGCAGGGAATAAGTGCCCCCCCCCCCCCCCGATAATGGGGTGGATTTTTATTATTTATTGTTTATTTATATATTTATTTTTTGGCCGTTTTGGCAGGTTTTCGCCCCAATTTCCTGCGGCAGGTGGGGCCCGGGGGGGGGGGGGGGCTGCGGCAAGGAGGGGTGGGCTGCGCCTCCCAGCCCCGGTGCCATCTTCTGCAGCCTGGGCGTGGGGGGGGGGGGGGGTCGGGAAAAATGGGGGGGAATCGGTTAAAATGGGCGAAATGATAAAAATCCAGCCGTTTTGGAGAAGGGGGGGGGGGGCACGCAGGGAGCTGTCCACGCCCGGCCCTAAAATTTGGGGGGGATCCGAGGGGTGTGGGTTTTTTTTTTGGGGGGGGGGGATGAGGTGCTTTGTTGGGATTTGGGGTGAAATTTGGGGAGGGGGGGGACAAAAAGGGGGGGCAGCCCCAAAAGCTGTCGGGTTTTGGGGTGCTGGGGCCAGCCCCGGGGGGGCTGGGTTGGGGTCTCGGTGCCACCCCCCTCTCGCCCCCGTTATCCCCCCTCCTCCCCTTGCTGTGCCCCCAAATCCCATTATCCCGTCCCAAAATCCCCTTATCTCACCCCAAAAGGGGGGCAGCGCACACCCCCCCCCACGCCCCTTGCTTCTCCGCCGCCTTTTTCTTTGTGTTTTTTATTTATTTTATTTTATTTTTTTATTCCCATCCGGGGGGAACTTCGCTCCCCGTGCGGGGCGGGAGCCGATTTTTGGGGTGAGGGATGGGGATCGGCCCCGCACGCGGGTTTTGGGTGGGAAAAGCGGGATTTTAGCACCTGCCGCCGCGGTCCGGGGGATTTCTCCTCCCAGCTGAGGGTCCCCGAGCCGTGCCCATGCACCCAGCGAGGGTTTCCTCGGTTTTATCGTCCCTTTTTACCTCGTTTTAGGGTTTTCCTTCTGCAGCGCGATTTTTTCCCCGTTTTTTCCATCAAAATCGTGCTCGGCTGGGCGTTCACGGGCCAGCAAAGCGCCGTGATGAAACGAGAAACGACCCAACCTGTTCCTAACCTCACCCTTTTTTTTCCTTTTTTACCCTTGATACGCCAAATATTTGGGATTTTTTATTTCCGAGGGGCCGTCCCACTCACCCGCAGCACGTGGGGGCTTTTTGGGGCGGATAACTCACCCCTGATTAAAAAAAATAGTGTTTTTTTTTTTTTTTTTCTCGTTATTGGGTGGGTCGGTGGTGTTTGGGGGATGCCTGCTGGACGCCCTGGGGAATGGGTTGGATTGGAGCCTTTGGGGTTTGGCGTGGGCAGGGTTTGGGGTTTGACGCCCGGGGGCTGTGCTTTGCCTCGCTGTGGGTAAAACAAGAGGATTTGGGGACGGTGGGACACGGAGCTTTCCCTTGGAGCCCCCTTTTTGTGTGGTTTAGGGGTTTTTAGGGTGTCGGTGTGTGCCTGCAGCCATCCTGCCCCATCCGTCTTTTTAACTGTCCCGAACCCCCAGGGCTGTGATTTCCCCTCCCCGAGAGCCACGGGGAAGCAAATTTGTGCTCGTTTCCCCAAAAGGAGCCCGCTGAGAGGTGAGAAATGGGGGGAACGAGGTGGCACCGCCTTGTCCCTGCGGGGCTCGCTGCCTCTCCCCGGGGACGCTCAATGCGTGCTGGCGAGGTGGGTGCCTCAGTCTGCTTTTGGTGCTCCTTTTCCTTAAAAAATACCTTGAATTTTGCATCATCTCAGCTTGTCCCGAGCAGAATGAGCTGCTTCTGGCAGCCCTGCTCCGCGCAGCAACCCGGCGGCGCTCTGATGGATAATCGAGAGAGGACCGGGACCAGCTCCCAGTCAGCTCCCAGTGTTTTCCAGTCCCCTTCCCCTGCTGGGGGTGGGGTGGGGTGGCCGGCAGGTTGGCCGCAGGTAGGTGTGGGGCTGGGATGGGGCTGGAAGCTCGCGGTGGACCCGTGATGGACCCGTGCAGGACCCGTGCTGGACCCGTGGCTGCGTGGTCTGGGTGATGCTGGGGCTCGGTGCCGGCATGGGAGGGCTGTGGCTGTCCCGCTGCCTGGGTTTGTGGCTTCCACAGCACCTTCGAGGTCTGGAGAAGCGCTGCCAGCCCCTCCTGGGACAGCAAAGGGCGCTTCTGGCTGCACGGGAACACAGCAGGCTGAGGGCTGGTGGCTCGTGTCTGCCCCACAGCCAAACGCCGTGAAAAGGAGGTGATGGGAGCGCTGATCCTTGAGGAGCTGAGCTCCTGCTCAGCTTTGGGGCACGAGCAGCCCTCGGTCCCAAGGATTTGTCCCAGGATGTAGCAGGAATAGCAGATCGTGGCCCTGTAGGTGACCTCTTCTTTTTTTTTAAGACGGGCGCAGCTCAGCCCTGAGGGACCGAGCGGATCTCAGCCTTTTCTCGTGGCAGGATGGGTCCCCTCCATCTGCGAGGTGGAGCTTTGTTTCACGCTGAAATCTGCTGCTCGTGGGCTGGGTTTTATTTTAAGTGCCTGCGGAAAGCATATGCGCTTTACCCCGGAGTCTGGAGGAGATGGATTTGCGCCTTTAGACTGGAGTGGATTTTCTCTGCAAGTCTAATGAGCCCTCGGTGCTGTCGGAGCATCAAGCCACTGATTTTTTTTTTTCCCCCTTTTCCCTTCCAAGAAGTCTAATGAGCAGAGGCAGTCATTGCTGCCTGGCTCCCGTTTCCAGTGCCTGCTCTTTAAATACCCAAGGAAAAGCAGCGCCAGGGGACACCTCCCGTCGAGCTAACGGGATCGGTGCTGCAGCTGGGCTGGTGATTTCCATCCCTGCAGCCTCCCCGCTGTACCTGCCCTGACTCCTTGCAGAGCTGCTCCATGTCACTGCCTGCCCGCCTCCGTGCTTGTCCCATCAAAAACGGGGAGCTGGGCTGCTAAAACCACTCATTTTGGGGTTTTTGAATAATGTTTGGGGCTCTGAGCCCCCGCGGTGCCGAGCTGCAGGGCTCTCTGCTGCTCCTCAGCATCTCTGGGCACGGCTCCCCACCAGCTCCTGGAGGTGCCCGATGGCATCCCCACGGCTCTCATCGCTGCGTGAAGTCGCTTTTTGCCAAAATAAATTCCTCGAGGTGTTTGTAAACTGCTCGCATCTCGGGAAACCTCTCCCGTGATCCCTGAGCAGTGCCCAGCTCAGTAACGCGCACGTTTGCGCTGGCCTGGAGCTCATTTCGCTCATTTTTGCTGTCTTGTATCGGACAGAAGCGTTTGGGATGCGCTTTGGAGGCTGAAACTGTGCAAGGACACATCTGGCCAGCTGGGCACCTCCTCGGCTGAGGAGTTAAGAGGAGAGGCAGCACACAAAGCACTGGGCGAGGATTTGGTTTGGTGGCTGGCTGGGGCAGCGGGGCTGAAAGGGACGTTCCCAGCGGTGCTGAGACACGGGGTGGGTGGAAATGGGGCGAGAAGAGGGCTGAGGAGGTGGAGTAAAGTGAAACAGGGACCGAGGAGCAATGAGCAGCTTCATCCTGGGTGCCCCTGCTGGCTCCGAGGTGACAAAACGGCCCCGTCCTGGTGTGTGGGGCTCGCGGGACGAGCTTTACGAGGTCAGTTTGTAGCTCTGCAGGTTGGCAGGAGGAATCTGGTGTAAACCAAAAACGTGACCTTTACCTGAAAACATCCCTCACGGTGCTGCGGGCAGGGGTGAAGGAAACTCAGTGGAGAGGTGTGGAAGGGGCTCATGCAAACCAGCGCTTCGTTACCATCCCACTGCAGATCCCACATGCAATGGGACGAGCGGCTGGCACCGAATTCCCTTTGGGCTTTGAGGGCGAGGACTGTGACGGGGCTGGGTT